TCATTGCCATTTTCCAAGAAGAAATAAACTATAATTATTTTGAGAGGAAAACTCCTATATAAAACTTCTCTAATTAGATTGCCCTTTCTTGCATCTCTACCGTATTAAATTTTCTTCTCTTTCCTCCAGCGTAGCAGGTCTGTCTGTTTTTGCATTGTCATTCTCAAGGCAGACACCTGGACTGCCGCTCCAGTTGCACAAGCTGCCTGCCTCCTTTCCCCAGGATGACAAGTGCCTCTTTACCCTTGTCCAGACAGTTAACAGACTCCAGCACACAGATTATTCGATCACCAGCAGCGAAGAAAATGTCAAGAACAGCAGAAAATCCCAAACCAAAACAGAGGAGAGAAAGAATGGCCCTTCTAAAGCTTAAAACTGTTAACACTATGCATACTTCAAGGAAATTTATCATCTTCAACACATGCAATGACTAGTCAAACTCAAATTCAGATCTGAACATCCTGAGACATGAACACTGGGAGGGCAGAGACAATTTTAGCTATGGTCAAAAATACAAATACCAGCCTCCCATTGAGAGAAGAAAGGTTACCAGCTGAGCCTCACCGTGCACTTATTTCACATCTTTCAAGCAACTGAAAAGCAGGTAGGCTTGTAACAGGAGAGTGAACCTGAGAAAAAGCACCTAGCTTCCAAGTAATCTTATGCTTTTTCCTCTTTATATACATCCTCAGATATATGAAATCTAGCCACTAAAAATCATAATATACAGAGCTTGAGAAGAAACAAATTATTTGGAAGGAGGGATGGGAAAGGAAGAGGAAAAAAAACCTTACCAACTGACTGGCCTTACTGTGCACTTTTGCAGGAGACCAAGAATTGCTTCTGATGCAGCAGCATTCAGTCCTGGAGAAGTCAGACAGAGGAAAAAGGGAGGGGAAGTAAGAGGAGGGAAAGGGAGGGGATAGGAGGAGATGGGAGGGGAGAATGTGTACACTGCACGTCAGTTTGTTGAGCCCTAACATTGGTCTCTGGAAACAGAAGAATGAAATTACTGCCAAATCAAGCTGGGAATTGGTTTATGTTGGTTCAAAATGTTAAGGAAACTGGATTCTAGGATTCATTTGGGATCAAAACAGCATCAGAAGAAAGAAATGTGTCACACAGAAAGAAAGAAATATCCTCACACAGCTATTCAGTGCACTTGAAATGCCAAATGTTTTTGCTCTAAAGAGAGATCGTACATAAAGTCAAGCAGAGTAAATGCTAGTGCTGCAGCAAAACCATTCACTGCAGCTGGTATAAAACAGAGAATGTCCAGAAGAAAGCAAGATTACATTGCTTTCCTATGACCTTCTAAACACAGCTTGCAGCTACCCACAAATCTGTGAGATTGTAACCCAGATGGAGTAGTTATTTCAGCTCTTCATTCATTGACATCTATGTGACAGCTGCATCCAAACACAATACGCAGCACACTGAAGACAGGCAGCTCTTTTAGAAGTCTTACACAACACAACAGCCAGAATCATAATATCAAAATATCATACACACTTCGGAGTGAAAATATGACAGCCATTCTCCTACTAAGCAATCATTACAACCCAGTCCCACTCCTTTAATTTAACAATTAAGGAAATAAAAATTTTAGCGCCTGAAGAAAGAATGGGAGAGGAACACTCACTGCTCAACACGTCTCATCACTACATCTCTACATGACAGAGAAAAAAAAATCCAAAAGATACTTCTCACCTTATAGGCTTTACAGCTAGCATCTCAAATTTCCCATTTCTCACAAGCCACGTTGATTTATTGAAATGTATTTCCCTAAGATTGATTTTTTCTATCTTTATTCCCTTGAGCTAGCAATTTTGCATCTCATAACTGTTGTCCATCATCCTTGGTCAGATGCTTTCCTGGATGTACAAGGCTCCTGAGCCCATAAAATAGCTTGAAACCCCATATGCAGGCAGAATCTCAGGAGCTCTTCAAGTGCTACAGCAGCAGCACAGTGTTATACAGCAAATGGATGATGCAACTCCATAATGTTCTGACTCTGCAGAACAGCTTGAAAAGAAGACAGGCTCAGCTAGCCCCTGCTCTTTCCACTAACTACTTTTCTTCTGTCAAAGGTAGGCTTCACTCAAAAAACTGAGGAGGATCCCAAATTACACGGTGCCAAGGGATGCAAGAGAACATTTTTCAGTCCATCGTAGAAAAACAGGCTCCCGTAAAGCTCTCCTTTGCTCCACATCTACAAAACACCAGGTAGGCTGCTCTGGTATCTTTAGAGTTTTAAGCAAAATACTTGTCACATGTAAGAAGTGCGTGTTTGAAGTAATGGAAAACCCAAATCTCTTACTGTCATAACGCTGTAAATCACCAAAGACTCCTAGGTTTATACACTGCCCTTATGGCACTAGCAAAGTATTACTGACAGCTTGATCTGGCACACAGCACTCCTGTGGCAGATGCCTCGCTTATGAATTCAAAACACTTGCGTAACAGCTACCAGCCTGCTGTGCAGCTCTCCCCCAGCCCTGCTCAAAAACACGCATCTTCCACTCCCTGCCCTTCACACGGACGTTCCCAGAATACAATCCCACAGATTCAGAACAAACTGAGAAACGTGTCACCCTATAGAAATGAACATTCTCCTTACAGGAAACAGAAGACAGTAAAACCATACATTCCCTTTCTCCAAGTAAAACTGCATACAAGGTGGGCCTGAAGCCCCATACCCACAACAACTCACAAAGGGTTAGTGTGGCTACATTAATTCAGTTGGAAAGGATTTTCATCACCTTGCCTTTTTCCTCGCCTCTTCTGCTGTTTCAAAAATAGCTCTGGCTTGTTTGCTGCACCGCTTATGTCAGTCTGATTTTATGCCTGAGTGGATGTATACAGGCAAGTTTGTAGCCCATTAAACGCAGACTACCCAGATCTGTACATACATGCACAGTCACACAAACACAAAGCACATCCCCCTCCCTCGGAGGCCATGCTGGAAAGCTGCTGTGTTCAGAGGCTTTGTGCTGTATTAAGTATGTTTACAGCAGGCCTCACATGGGGGCTAGAAAACAAATCACTGCCTTCCTGAGGTAAAAAACAAAACAAAACCACAAAGACAAAATAACACTAATACCCGCTCCTCTTAAAGTTGATGTCCTAGTTTCAGCAGGGATGAAACTGTTTTCTTTAGAGTGTCTGGTATAATGCTATATTTTGGTTCTAGGAGGAAAAACAATGTTGATGACACCCATTGTTTACAGTCGCTGCTAGCAGTGCTGTGGAGCGCCAAGGCCATACTCAGCAAAGGACTCAAGTTGTTCAGAGGGGACAGAATTAGGACAGCTGACTGAAACTGGCCAAAGGGATATTCCATACCATGTGACATCATGCAGAAGCAGTCTTGAAGGGGGTGGGGGTTCATTTCTCTCTCTCTCTCTCTCTCTCTCCTGCTGCTCAGTGGGCATCAGTCAGAGGGTGGTGAGCAATTGCTTGTGCAACACTTGTTATATACATTCGTACATATATGTGTGTATATATATAACATACATACACAAATATATTGTCATAAATGTTATCATTTTCCTTTACTCTATCCTAGTAAATAGTTTTATCTCAACCCACGAGTTCTACCTTTTTTTTCCTGATCCTCTCCCCTGCCCCACTGGGAAGGGGAAGGAGTAAGCAGAAGACTGCGTGGTGCTCAGCCACCTGCCAGCTTAAACCACAACAGTCAAAAGTAAGTGCCTTCTCTGTGAGAAAGAGACTTTGAAATGGAAATGCATTTATCAGTGACTCAAGGTCATTTGGATGCATGCTGTTCGGTTTTTCTGTCCATTAAAGATAAACACTCCACCCTCCCACCCCACCCCCCAGAGGTTTTGAAAACTATTATTCACAATTGCCAAGAAGTGAAGGGATTTAGGGAGGTACAGACATACAGAAATTCTGGAACTACTCTTACAGAAAATTTCAGGTAAACTCATGAAATCTGAGGTGCAATTCAAATGAGATTTCTCCTACTAATGCTTTTTAATCACTGGGTTTTCCTGAACAGCTTTATTTTTTATAATAAATCAACTTGCATTTTCCTAATCCCAGATTAATTCCATTCAAATTTGGTATCCCTCCCAAACCCAGTAATCTAAAGCTCAACCTCCTTTAGCACAGCTCTGCCTTCAAGACACAGCTCAACAGCTGTGAGCTATCTGATGGATTTTAAAATGTAACTTGCTTAGCATGCCATGACTCAGGAACATTGGTTACCGTGAATCTAAAGATTTCCACAAGGAAATGCAGCACAAAGAGATCTTGATTGTTCCTATGTAAAATTCAATCTAAGTTAGCTACTTTGTCACTTATTTTAAAAATAAATTTGTACCTCTTGGCATTTCTGTACTAAGTACTCCCCTATTACTTATCTGCTAAAAACCCTCTGAAATTTAAGAGGGGAAAAAAAAGCATATACCATTTCCATCAGTCACTGTAGCATGCAGACAAGATTAAAAAGATGATGCTCTCAGGCATAGTATCTCTTTTGCTAAGAGTATCTGCGTTTAAATGCAATTCTGTATATTAACAGGAAAGAGAATTCAAACAAAAGCTCAACCATGCGGCAGTGTATTAGCATCTCAACATGCAGTGTATGAAAACTATTTATTATTTTACTTCTGAAGGCATCTTCTATATCAACAGCAATTTAACAAACCAGACATGCAAAGAACTGGAACAAACTGCCTGGGGAAACTGTGACATCCAATCACATAGATCTTTAATGTCAACAGAAGCAACAAATGCGTAAAAGTCAGTTCTGCCTTAGGGTAGAGAAGTGAAATACATTACTGCCTGAGACCCCTTTCCAACTGCATGAACAATATGCTTCTAACCTCTCGCCTTTTTTTTTTTTTTTTTTCCCTTCCTCAGGCACCCTCTCATAGACTTATTCCCATCAACTGCTCTTAGCCTTCAATGCTAGCACCATGCTTAGAAATAAGCTTTGAACAAAACATGGCAATTCAACTTTATCTTCTTACCCAACCTCCTTGTTGAATGATATAGTCTGCAGAATAGTCTTCTAGATACGTCACTCCGAAGTTCACAAGTGCACTCAGTGGTTCCTGGCCTCTTCTGGTTAACTCCATCAGAAATTGCTGTAGCAGAACCAGGGGCACCAAGACCTTCAAAAAACCAAGAATTACAAAAAAATTCAGAGAACATTATCAATACTACTGAGGCAGGTAAAACAGAAGAACTTATGTGGCCTACAGAAATGGTCTGAATTTGGAAGTTCAAAGTTATCAGGGGACTACATGTGCCATTTTTGTGAAGACAAGATACAGAAATACAATACAAAACAGTAGGAAAGGAGCACTTAAATCTGAAAAGCAAAACATCACAGTGTAACTTGACAGTTTCACAGAACAGGACTGCAGTGGCTTCTTGATTACCATGTTTCCACAACACAAGATTCAGGTAAAAAGAAGCAAGAATAGGTCCAGAACTTTCAACATCAGAAGAGACAAAAAGCAATGTTATTGTTTAAAATGCTATGTACCCAAACTGTTTTCTAACGGCAAACTCATATTCATTCTTTAATAGATGCATTACATTGGACAGTCTTTTTAGAAGTTTACATTCTGCTTTCAGACAGGACATAACCGAATAACTTGGGCTCAAACGCTTATAAAAAGAAATGGAGTTGCATCAAGATGGCAGCCAGACTCTGTGATGCTTAACATTGGCAAGCACTGGGTTCTGAAACTGGGAAGGGGCAATCCTAGCTGTATGTAAGGAGAGAAGCCCCACACACTGTGGTCTCTGGCCGACAGCAAGTTGAACACGAGTTAGCAATGTGCCCTGGCACCTACAAAAGCCAACCACACCCTGGGGTGCATCAGGCCCAGCACTGCCACCAGGCAAGGGGAGGGGTTGTTCTGCTCTGCGGCCTTACCTTGAGCTCTGGGTGCAGTCTGGGGCTATGAAGATGGGGAAGGGCCTGCAGAACAAGATGTGTAAAGAGTGGCTGAGGCCCCTTGGTTTGCTCAGAGCAGAGGAGCTGAGGGCAGGCCTGATGGCGGCTGCAGCTCCTCACAGGGAGCGGAGGGGCAGCGCTGAGCTCTGCTCTGTGTGACAGCGACAGGGCCCGAGGGAACGGCATGGAGCTGTGTCAGGGGAGGGCAGCTGGGGTGAGGGACAGGTCTGCACCACAGGGTGGTGGGCATGGAACGGGATGCACAGGGCAGTGGGCACGGCCCCAAGTGTCGGAGTTCAAGGAGCATTTGGACACTGCTCTCAGACACAGGATTTGGATTTTGGGTGGTGCTACACTGGAGCCAGGAGTTCGACTCGATCCTTATGGGTCCCTTCAAACTTAGGGTATTCTACGGTTTCATGAACTCCTCACAGCAGAATAAGATTACAAGCCTAGTTCAAGTGATAAATACACAGGCCTCTCTAACTTTGAACTCTTTCTTCTACGCCAAATTTACTTTGTACAGAAATCCTTGCCTTCTTTCCTACCTCTTCTTCTCCTTCCGATCTTTTTTGTGTTTAACAGAATGTACAGCCTTAACCAAAGTGTGAATGCCTCTGGAAAATGCACTAACTCACCTCCTTAATATAACATAGTTCTAGATGCTTCCTTCTGAAATTATGTTGTTGTTTGCCTAAACAACACGCAGTTGAACTTTTAAACTCTGCATTTATTCTTCATGCGAGTGGCCCTCTGGGCAAAGTTTATGCTGTACTTTGCCAAGTTCAGGAAAAACTGGTATGAACTGAAGCCATTAGCATCTGAAAAAGCTTTATTACCATACAAGAGAAAATACTACTAATTTTACTGCATTTAGTTTGTGACAAATGCATTGTACTTCTATTCCCTGTAAATGCTGAAGAGGATCATTAGAACACTGCAAATCAGAACGTTGTTTCCTGCCCACACAAGGTAGATCCAGGTTAATACGTTTGCTCAGATTGAACTCCAAATGCCCCTTCCTTCTCCAGTCTCCTCCTTCAGCCTGATCTTCTTTTGTGTAAATATCTTCCATTATTGTTCCCAGAAATCACACCTTGGGAATCAAAGCTGGAGGAAGAAACATAAGAGTGGGCACTTGGCTAGGTTTGACATTTGTACTAAATCCATGGTGGAGTCACATTCAGATGGATCCCTAAAAATAGATAAGGTATTAAAAATGCCTGTAATCTGATAAATTTAAGACATTCCAATTGATTAAAAACAGAGAGAGTCCAATACTACAGAGGACAGGTAACATTATTGTTCTGGGAAAAATAGTTAACGCTTCATTCACTTAACTAGAAATGAGACAGTATCTGAATTTTAAAAGCTTTGTGGTTTGTTTGCCTGGTGTTGTTTTGTTGTTGTTGTTGTTTTTAATTTCTTGTAATTAACCTTGAATCAGAGGCAGAAAAGCTGCAGGCTTACAGCTATGTGAATAAACATAAGGAGCAGGTCAAGGTGAGGTAAGCATCAGAGGAAACTTCAGTCTTTTTGGATTAAAGAAAAGAAAACATGCTGTCAGGACTAGGTAAGCTTTGTGTGCATCCACTTAACTCTACAACGGCATGAAGATTTTAATTTCAAAATATTTGGCATTTACTTTAAGCTGAAGGGGAAAGAAACAAAGGCAGAAAAGAAAAAGAGGCTGCTTAGGAAATGAAGAGAGCTCAAACTACTGCTTTCTTCCTTTGCCAACTTAAATATCTAATCTACCCATTCCTCCCAAATTTAGAGTCCTTCATAGGCCTTTACAGCTAAGGACCAAATTCAAACACTGATACTCAATTTTGTGCAGACCAACAAATACAGACTGTTTTTTCTTTCCCATTGAGATTACTGAGACTTCTATCTTAGAAGATCAGCAATAGGGAGACCAGGTTTGCAAACTAATCAGGTTCACAGTACTCCCACTAAGGCTAACTGCAGCTTTTTGTACTTAACAGTAGCTATGTGAATGGTGATAAGTTTTAAACCAGACCACAGCTAAAATGGACCCTTAACAATTCAAAGCAATTGCAATTCACTCCACCAGTACACATAGGAAAGCGTACTAGAAGCTATTTATACTCTGATTGAAGAAACACAAAGACAAAATCAAACAGAGCAAGCCAGCAAACAATTGGCAGGAGAAAATTTCTGGGGAATCATTTAAAAAAAGTTACTATCAGAAGATCTCTGATTGTATAAATGAAAAAATTCTGCCAATTACACTTTTGTAATCCCTCACTACAGTACTGCAATCTAAATGTCTGCAAAACGAAAATTAAATAGTACAATATTCCAAAAAGATTTTGAAGTTGCATCAAAAGTAATTGCCATTTCCGTGCATCTTCTGACTATTTCAACAGAAAAATTCACCTTACTATTTACAAAATTAGTTCTTACTGATTAATGGGAATCAACAATTAATAAAACAACGTCAGTAAGATGACTGCTAACCTACCTACTACCTCAGCTGACTCGCAGTTTCAGTACTCATCATCCTTTTATCTGATGCACACTAATGGGATTTTTTTTTTTTTTTGAGTATTCACATACTATTCTATATTAAGCATAGCATAAAAACCTCAACAGTGAAGTGTTTCACTACCAAATTTCAAAATACATTTATTACAGAAACACAAATCCCCTCTAAATTTGGTATTAGCTTGGTTTTATTTTAAAGAGAGCCTTAACCTTTTCTTTACAGAATCCATCACTGTATCCATTATTTCCACATCGCAGTTTCTGAGAAACACATGAAGTATTTTTTTTTTCCCTTCTGAAATTCTATTACTGAGAACCTGTGCTTCAAATTTCCACAGGTAAACTTTGCTTCTGTGGGATGTCAGTGGAAGAACAGATGTTTCTACGCATATGTTTACCCAGCAATATTTTCTTACTGAGATGAATGTTCACATTTTAGTGACTGAAAATATTCCTTTACTTGACAAGTTCTTGTAAATTAATCGTAACCCTTCAGCAGTTCAGACATACCACTGCTCTCTGGAAAAGGTCCACATTTTCAAATGGTAAAAATAACAGCTACATCTCAAAGCATCTTCTTTATGTTCCTGCATAATGAACAGGTTCTGTGAAAATTAGCATGATTAAAAATGACTCCTTCCCAAATGTAAACGAGGCAGATCAAGCCTCGTTCACATTCAACTTGCAACTAACTAACATCACTATTTTAATGCAATACCTACCCAGAAGTATATGCTTACCTTATACTGTGTCTTACATACACATAACATCAGGTAAGATTTGCAAGGACTGCTTTGGATCTGCCTTGTGCCACAGAGATACTGTGCCATTACGGGATTGGTGTGGCTCTCTGAGCACATCACAGTCAATATATTAAATAGGAGGAGCTTTTTTATATAAACACATACAATGAAAGATACCTATACACACACATGCACAAATAAACACAAGATCTGATAACAAGTGAAATCACAGCAGTTAATTCTAACTTAGGTTCCTCACCAAGTCCAAGTTGCTTCAAGGGGCCATACAATTTTCTTTTCAACAGCAGAGTTGGAAATTTGAAGTGAGATTCTCATTTGTAGGCTACAAAAAGCATAGACATCTGGGTACATCACAGATGTACCACCCAAAAGTCTATCTGTGGGAAATCCTTTTAGATTTTTAACCCTTTCTCATCTGCCACAACTATTGTGTGTTTTCAGTTTCTGCTCCAGCCAAGCAATTAAAGGATATGTAATAGCCAGGAGCACGTAACAGGGAATGATAAGTTTTTCTGCATCATTCTTAGCAAACTGACAAAAACAAGTTCAACAGGAGATACACCTCTATGTAAAACCTGAAGAAGTGTTAGGAAACTATCCATAAATAGCTCTTCTAACAGGAGTACTGTTTCCTGCTTCCTTTCTCTCATCTTTTTCACTATTAAATACTATCAACTTATTAATTTGTCTTTCCCCTCTTAACGTAGTCATGCCAAGGACAAATCTTCACCGCTTCCCACACCCCTAAGTTCTTACAGAAATATATTAGTAAATTTTCAAGAGTAGACAAGTCTTCTGGTAGTCAGTTTAAATGCATATTTTTCATATGTTCACAGACCCAAGGCCAGCACCACTTCATTTTGCTGCTACACATGCCTGCTAATTAGACTTAACACTGCATGTCTATTTCTTGCTACTTTTATTATTTTTTCCAACAACTTCTTCTTTAGATTGAGAATTAAGTTACATTAAAGTTGGAGGAAAGGTACCTAGATCTTTTCTGTTATAAAACATGGCTCTGCTTAAGTCAGTAAAGGAATTTAAAAGGAAATGAAACTGAAGAAATATGTTCCATCTCCTCAAAACAAGTATTATTAAAGGAACTGCTAAACATTCCTGAAGCATCAAGCTACCACAAAAACAATCTAAACAGATGCTGTACTACTACACAAAATTTCCACTCAAGTTTGCTTGTGGACTGCAACAAATGTTACAGGTAAGTAAAGATGATGATAAAGAAACCTTCTGGCTAATCCTCTCCATCAAAAGCTGACAAAGAACAAAAGCTGTCTGCAAGAACACATGTTGCATAAATGCAACAGCAAGGGAGGTTGAGTCATAAATCTCCAAATCAATCTACCCAGGGCTACAGTTGCAAGAGGAGATGCAGTAGGGAACAAACAAAGTTCCATCCACTTCCTCCATCAAGTGGAAAGTAAAAGGTACAATCTTAAAGCACCTCCTTGAGAAACAGATTTCATGGTTGCTTTCACTAATATGTTATGAATCACAACACAACAAACTGAAAGCAAGCACAGCAATTATAATTGCCATAGCCATCGGCTTGAACTTGTCAAGCAACATTAACAAACTGCCTTAAAAGTGCCCACACCCTTTCTCACATGATAGTTTTCTGAAGTAAGCAGTGAAATCTAGTTAAGGAAATTAAATTATTTTTTAAAAAGATTTCTTGCTCTATTTTAACTTTGAGACTAAGTTTGAACATTCAATTTGTCATTAAGTTTGCAAATAGTTATTTCATTATTTTTCTGACGCACACTGAACCTGTCAGAAAATAACTAATATTATGAATTGGAATGATTAGTGAAACATGAATCTGGGGATAGTAATTCTACTCATTCTACTTTCAAGCTATTACAAGGCAGTTTGCTTACAAATCTTCACGTTCTAAAGAAAGTAAAAAAGTGTGTCATTTGAGACAACTACTCCTGAAACCAGGGATGCACACACTCTCCTTACATATTATGAACAATTGAAATACTGTGAGGATGCTAGCAATTTTATTTTAAGCCTGAGTTGGAAGCAAAGAAATGGTAGACAAACGTTATGAAAACATTACAGTCTCAGATTGCATTTGAAACTGCTAGAACAATAAACATCTTTGGAAATTAATTATTATTTTTTTTAATAACTATTGCCAAAAATCATGTCAAGCAACATTTCATTTTACTGTAATAAAGGAAGATTGACCTAACACGTCATTTAAATCACTTCTGGCTAAATTATCTAGAAGCTACATAGTATGCCTACATCCCCTATTAAGAAAGTACATGTTATTTCACACTAAAAACAAGCGAGTTCTTTTTAATTTTGGTCCTCTGTAAAGTATAGCTGCCCCTTGCAAGAAACATCGTGGACATCAAATTGATGCAAGAGATATCAAAGTCAAAGCCACTTATTTAATACCTTGTTCCATCCACTGGCATGTGCAGCTGTCTCTTGTGTGCGCTCTCGATATTCTTGATATGTTACTGGCCTGCAGAAGTTAAACCAACACTGAAAGTTATAAAAGGAAACAAAAGAACAAAAATAAAATAAAATTCTCAATTTTCTGATAATAAGGTTTTTTCACATATATTACAGCAAGTAATTTTCAAGAGCTAAAAATTCTCATGTTTCACCACCAGCAGTTGGGCAAGAAGGCATCACCTTTTTCCAGTTATACAATTCCAAATAACTGGTTAGGTGAGTATTAAAAAATCTGATAGTCTACAAATTAAAGAACATTAGATAAGTAGGTTCTCTGACATGCTACCAACCAACACACACTTGGCAGCATTAACATTATGTTAGAGTTCAAGTATTTAGCTGCAAGAGATAGCACTTTTGATCACAAAAAAAATCGTATTTCAGTAGACATTTCAACAAGACTTCTCATTTTAAATCTATCACACCCCTAGGTTCTCTGAATTGGGATGATGAAATTACTCTCTTTCCTCCAAGATCAAATAGTATCTTACAGTCAACAACAATGAAGACTTTCTGACAAGTGATAAGAGAAGACGTACAACCTCAAAAGCAATTGTACTAAAGCCAAACCAAGACAGAAGGCAAGTTTAGACTTCAGTTTAAGGGAGAAAGTGGTATCTGATGTTGGGGAGAAGAAATACTTACTGCTTAGTGAACTTTAATAACCTTCCAAAAATCTAACAGGCTTGCTGTACTACAGCACAAAGATACTTGCATATAGGCACATGAGAGGAAAATATAAAATATTAGCAAAATAAATAAATATTATATCAAATAATGCTATAGTAGGAAACATTGGTGAAAGAACAAAATTAAAGTACACTGGAGAAAAGATAATTTGAGTTTGTCATTCTAAGTGCATTCTCTTAACTTCCTTGGTACATTAATCCCTTTAGAATGCAAATCCAAATGAATCACTAGGATGAGAAGAGTAACAACAGCTGCAGGAAGGATATTACTGAGAGTCTGGACAGTATTTCTAGTTCACTTTACAAAAAAATACGTATGCCACATTTTCATGGACATTTCACACTTTGTATATATATTTACAGAATCATAGAATCACTACTTTTGGAAAAGATCTCCAAGATCATGCAGTCCAACTGTCCATCTATCACCAATATTTCCCACTAAACCATTTTCCTCAGTACAACGTCTAAATGCATGGTTTTGTTAAGGCAGATAAGTGTCTGCCATTCCTGGAGGAACATACTAACACATCTTTTGTTGCTTAAAGGAAAACTTGTACCGTACAAGGCATGTTTTGTTGTTAAATAATTTTTAGTTTACGCAACATTAAGCTTACATTTTGATCCTATTAAACCTATATACAGAAACAGACAGTGTATGTATGGATTACTGAAAGTTAAATGAAGAGTTTTCCTGTGGATGAGTCAGTGAAAAGAGACAACCATTTCCATCTGTCTAGCCAGATGTTGTGTGTGACCTCTGATATTGAATCCAGGGCCGAGTTCATCAGTCTTACATAAAATTGGAGATAAAAATCAACAACCATTATAGCTTCTACAAAAAGACAACCTAGTTAAGGAATCACAGGCTGAGGTTGGAAGGGACCTCTGAAGGTCATCCAGTCTAAACTCCCTGCTCAAGCTGGGTCTCCTACAGCAGGTTGCCCAGAACCATACCCAGACAGCTTTGGAGTTTCTTCAAGGACAGTGACTCCACACACCTCTTCAGAAACCTGACAGTTAAAGACGTTTCCTCATGTTCAGAAGGAATGATTTTCAAGTTAACAATATTGCAGAAGTCTCCATGAAGGGAATTATCTTCACAAGAACATGAGATGCCTCTTCAAAGCCTGTATGGCATGCTTAACCCCATCTATGAGACTAGAGTTTTTTGCTAGACACTGATATCTAGGATACATTTCATGAGCAGTCGAGAGAATAATACTAGTAATTCTCAGCTTCCTTTGAGTCATATTAAGTGAATCCATAAAACAGCCTCAGATAGCTGTTTGATAATGCTGTCTTTACAACTTCATTTGTAACTGTCCTACTGTAGCACTCTACTGCACCAGCTCTCTACAAATACATTCTGGAAGTCATTCTGAAGAGTGAGGAGTACTTCATGTGGATCCATTTAAACGAGGCTAGTAATTCATATTAGAAAAACAAGCAACCACAGCAATTTTACGAGTTTACAAATTATATTAATCAAGATACTAGCATGGCAAGTACATGTGCTATTTAAACAGTAAGATTAAACTGGAAGGACAGCTCCTAATGCCCCAAGGTTAGCTCATGGAGTCACATTTGCTTCACACGCGTCTCCTGAAAGGTTGCCATAAAGCATCCACACACCTTCCCTTCAAGATGACTCTCCCACTCAGATTGGGTCAAACTATTTATTAAGCCTCCAGCTCTGCTCTTAACTACTAGGTATGGCAAGTTAATATGGGCACAGCCCAGCATTCATGAAATTGGCAATGGCAATTGGCAGCTCTCAGCTTCTAGTTTCACCAACTACTCAAAATACTTAAACTGGTCTCAGAAGCTCAATGATAAAAGCTTAGAAATTTTTCAGAATTTACATTAATCCAAAGAAAGGAGCACAAAGAAGTACTCACACATTAAAACACAAAACAAGAACGTAACCAGATAAAGAGACACTGAAAAAGAGAAATGCAATACAGAATGTAGTGTTATCTTTAGCATTTCAGTAGCAATCATAATACAAAATCAAAACGCCTTCCCTTTAAAAAAAACAAATGGAAACTCACTTGCTAAGCAAGCTCTCTAGTGCTTTGTGCAGATGTTCTTTCAATTCCTGGGATACTTTCTCCCCCAAATGAGCCAGGCAATCTTCTATTGAGCTTTCTGGATTGGCAGGACTGAACACTGGGGAAGTGTGGCAGTCAAATCCTGTAGTAGTAAAAGCTGAAAGAAAAAAATATATAAAATAAAGTAGACACGTATAAGAACAGCAGCCTCAGATTTCTCATTCCATCAGTTAAACACAATTCATATGATGGAGAAAGAAATCAAAACTCCATAGACATAGCATGCTTTGAACAAATTTTAGTAAAACAAGTATGTTCCAAATGTCATCTGGAAGTGATACTTCCGAGTCATAGATGACTGTAAGCTACATTTCTCCCCTCTACCCTTATCTCACAACTAACCAACAAATTAGCAAATATTCTCATTGTTATGCTAATTTTTAAGCCAGTGCTGATGAAGCATTGAAAAAGCCCCTTTTCCATGGTAAAATTTGCCCACTTATGGATCTCTGCAGCAGTATTACATCTCTTTTTAAAACAATACTCAGTTAATAAACCTTTTCCTTCTCTGTTTAAAATTTCTCAAAAAGGCCTATGTGAATTAATATAACCAGATATAGAGTCATTCAAGTTCGTACTTCCCATCTGAAACACATGCAAAGCAGATTGTTTCCAAACTGTTTCTTGCTGGGAATCCCACAACAGCCACACCTACCAGTTAAAGCATGTCCCAAAAAATAAACTGTGGAGGTGAGAAATCTGATGGTTGCAGTCCACACTCCCCAGAATTCTAGTTGTTTCAGTATGTTTACACTTCTGTCATGGAGCAGCTTAAGGGCTGTTTACATTTCATTGTTTATAGCAGCCTAATAAAAGCAGTTCAATTGTTTGCTTTGGCTAGACTGCACCACTCCACACAGTAACATTTAACTTCATAGGACAATGTGTAGAAACATTAGCTGGAGGGAGGAGGTGAAGAGATTCAATGCATCCAAGTATCTCTTTCATTAGAGTACTTGTTACAAATTAACCACCATTACACTGCACAGAAATTATCAATTGCAAGGGAGAAATTTGAAGAGCACCTTCCAAGATCTCTTCATCAAGATGTTTTAGCTCCTCCTCGATTTCTATTTTAATCTTTTCCAAAGCCTCTTTCTCTGAAGCATGTTGTGCCATAAGCTGTTGTTGAGTCCCTAGAAGAAATAAGAGAAATTATTCCAATGTAATATTTCAAATAAGGTAGATAACAGAACACGATACTGAAATACTAACAGTAAAGGAATTCAAGGTGGAAATTTTATTTCAGAAAGCAGCATGATATGTGATGCCTTAAGTGCATTTGTTGAGTAAGCTTTATTATATGAACTACAAAACACAAAGTTCGAGACTTCTGGAAGATAGAATATGAATATTAAATAATAATAATAATAAATTAGAAATCCAGACCTGTAAAGCCACAGAGTATGTGATAGCTTTAAAAACAAACTTATCTTGAATTTAAGACCAAAATCAACCCAAAATGCGCATGAACGAGTCATCATTAAAACTAATTTACTCATTATCAAACTACAGAACAGAGTAGGTGTTCTCAGTCCTAAGCTTAACATTTATTTTAAATAGCAAATTACGAAGTTTATACTGATCTCTGCAAAATCTACAAAACCACTCTGCTTTGTCAATGAAAAGTTCTGACATGATATCATCTGTACCTCAGCTCACTGTAGGGCGCCTGCAGGCCACAATTAAATCACTTAGTACAGGGTTCATAAGTAACAGCAGATGCAAATGACCCCACCATGGTCAGTCAACTGTCAATGCTCATTTCCTAATTACAACATTTAAAGATATGGAATGGCTGCACGTTCCCAAATACTACAAACACATCTTCTGTGTCATTTGTCACAAGAAATTGTTTCAGTCATATCATTCAGGATTACATATAATTTCAACCATCTTCATTATTACTTTGTGTATGTATATAAGCATAAAGAGGAACTACAATCTGTTTCTAAACAGGCGTAAGTATTTTAGAACACCTGAACTGCCTTGTAACTGTCAACTTTTCCAGTATAAGGCAGTACAGCAAGTTACTGGCTGCTTTCTGGCACAGGTAGTGATGCAGAGGCTAGTTTCGCTGTTTTTTCTTGGTGTTTTTCATCTTCAGCATTTGTCTTGGTTTATTCCATCAGCTTTTGAACATTTCTTTAAATTCTATGAATTTTTGTAGTGAAAGTACACTACAAAAACCGATTTATTAATCACTGTCTCATTTTTACTATACATCACTGAGTCAATAGCCTACCACTGCAATTTACTTTTCTCTTTCGATTCCCTAAGATGTCCTATTTAGAGCTAACTGTTGTATCTACATGTATCTAAAAGGGAGCTCAACTTACTCCCAAAAAACATGAATTGAAATTGACCAGAAAACTTTTCTTTAAAACCTCATTTCCAACCATTTAATTCCCTAACTTTTGGGATAATTTGGGCTAATTATCAGTCTTTGTTAGCCCTGAACTCTGTTGCTTTCAACAGTTAACCAAAACACAGTTTCTTAGCTCTCTTACTTTTGTATGTTACTTAGAATTCTCTACTGGGACTAGTGTGATTTAAACACCAGCTCCTGGCTGACCTTCTGATAATATTGCTTGTGCCCACTCCTTCCTCACTCAAACAGCTTTCTAGCACTTCTTCATTTCTGTTTGGAAGACACTAAACCTTAATGTGGTGCTCTACAAACAACTGCCTGTTTTCTTTGGTTTATTTCTATTTATATTTGCTTAAATTTACTGTAAATACTGTATTACCTTCCCATTTTCTCTGCAATGGAGACACAACATCACTGGTTTTCACATCAGCATGTGAAAGCCACAACAACAATATACACACAGATGTGAAGTACACCAGGCATATTTCTGTGTTTCTGAATGCTTGACAACTAGGTTGCAAGGTCTCTTACACTTGAAAGCTATGTTAAAAATCCACAGAATCAACTCTCCAAATGTGTACTAATGCTCCTTCTGATAGATAGCTGTGAGACAAACTCTTGCCAACTAACGCGTAGGTCAGTGTAAAATGTTTATGTTTCTTTAAGCGAAGAGTCCAAAGGAACAACAGATAGTCAGTTAAATTCCATTTTACTTAACCTCACAACTATGTCACCATCACCACATTCAGAAGAACTTCATTTAACTTCTGAAATCCCTTCTCAAACAGTCTGTTCTGTCACTCTGAGCCATAAATTCCAGAGAGGAGCAAACTGTTCCTCCTTCTGGTTAATGAACAGACACTCACTGACACCTTGTCAATCCCTTTACGGTTGACTCCTTCAAAAACCACACCACTGCTTCACAGTCAAGTGCAACAAGTATGTGCAAGTGCAAACTCTTATTTTAACCTGTGCTTCACCCTGTACACCAAAAGGACGAGGGTATTCAGAAGAGCACTCGTTCTCACGGGACTGATGTGATGATGATCACACATGACAGGCTGTCATACTTTATAATAAGTCACCCGGAAAATGGAAGGAAGAGAAATTCCACTGCTGCCAGCATACAAAAGAGCTGTTTAGATAATCAGTACTGCAGTCAATGGTTTCCATCTCGTAACACCCACAGCTTTGCAGCTGCTGCTAATTCCAATAGCACCTGACTATTCAGTCATGCCAAAAAAAAAAATCAAAAACCTACCCCTCCTGGATGAGTGACTTTGCACTGTTTGTTATCCTAATTATCAACGGACTTCAGCTTTCTGCTTCTCATGTATATTGACTCTGACAACAAAAAAATGCATGCAGTACTGGGAGAACAGCGTGTTCCAACTGCAAAGCTCCTCTTCCTTCTTTAGACAACTTCCATGTCAGTTGGCAAATAGGTAGAAGAAAGCAGTAAAAAATAGCTCCTAGTACATATTCATTCTTTAATATTGCAAACAGTCACACCAGAAATGGCACCTGTAAGATATACAAGCACTGAATGCTTCTCTATGCTGAAAAAAAAAGTACAGGTTTGCCTAAGAGCTTTTGCTAAACTGACTCTGAAAGGCCTCTTTCCAATGCAAAGATGGAGCAAACTTCTGTTACACACTCTTACAAGAAGTGCATTCTACTTTCTATTTATGCAACAAAGGTTCCCTTTTGCACAAGTGTTTTTTGTTGTTAGGATTTTCTTTTTCAGTTATATAGAGGTAGCCTGCAAAGTAGCAGTAAAAAGGTTTAAAAAGTTTGAAAAGTCCCTTAGGCACTGCATGGCTGTCAATCAGACACTGTTGCCACTACCAACAAAAGCAGTAGTGCAGTAAAATTCTGCCAGTAAGGCCACACATTCCAGAAGTTTAGTAACAATACAAGACTAACCTGTTCCCCAAGGTTCAGCCTTGGAGGAGGAGGGATGGGAAGCCATGCATTAGTTAGAGAAGCAGCATTGATTCTACAGTGTTTGTGTTAACTAAAGCTAGCAAGACAACAGTAGCTACAAGGAGAGACTAAAGGCGTTACACCTCTTTTTCAGCAAGAAAGTCTCTGATGTCACCAATTGCTACTGTGTGTGCTTTCTTTTTTTTTCTTTAACGCCCATCATTTTAATTTACCAATAACTCCATTTTTTAGTTCTTTCTTAAGATTTTACACAAACTTTCATGCAGTCAACATTCAATTACAAATTTACTCTCAGCATGACTCTAATATTTCTCTAATAACTCAGACTTTTTACAACGAGAAGGAAAAGCAAGCACCTAAAATTTCTGCAATCACTGAGAAGTGACGAGAATACAGCAAATCTCTTTCTAAATGTATTTGCCTTTTTTCTTTTAGGAAAAGCATGTGCATCACCCCAGCAAACTCTAGAATACAGACAAACAGAGGTAGCCCTTGAATTTAGAGGATGTGTAAAAGCAGCTCTTTATAAGCCATAAGACGATTCTGCTTAAACTAAAAAAGTCCAAAAATAGGAAGAACCAAAAAGACACGAGACATTGTCAATTAGCAGTCTAATGTTGGCTGAGAGGAGTCTTAAATTAAGTGAGAATTCATTTTCCTGGAAGGACTACCTTTTTCTTGTCCAAGTCAGACCCTAAAAACTCCCTTTCCTTGCCTAAGCTGAGGAAATAGCTTACCTGCTACCACTAACTGAGTTGCTCCAACACACAACGTGAATCTTTTCAGACTGTGACCTTTCAGCTCAAGTATGTATGTTTTGCCCTAACTGGACAGCTTCTAAGAAATCAATCACACATCAAAGTTAAAAATACCTCAATAACTCCCCTAACTTCTTATAGACCAACAATGGGCTCTATGAAGGTTAAGAGAAGATATAAGGACAGAGTACAAAGAAAACCAAGATAGTCTCCAACAGCAACTCCAACAGTCAACTGCTGATAGAAAATCTTGCAACAAGCACCCCACCCATGATGGTTAATACCACATAAAACAGATAGTAATGTTAAATATGGGATGGCCACAAAGGAACTTGAGCTCACCCGAAATGCACTAAGCCTATCATCTCTGCACAGCTTTACGTGTATCTTCTGAGATGTAACAGAACTCACTTCAAACTGAAGAAAAATGAACAAATAAAATCAATTTCTCCCATTATCCCAGTTCAGCACTACTCAGCTGTAAGACCTATATGTGGGAAATGATCACAATGGCTCCAGTCTTTGAATATTTAGAGCACTTCACATGGCAATAAAACATCGTACAAAATAGTTGGATTAAAAGTACCATGCATCTCAGGGAAAACACAAAACTGACAAAGTTTTGATCACCTCTTCTATCATCTGTGCTACCATGTAATAGTGGCCTTGACTATAAGTCTCTTGGTTGCTATGGGAGTTCAGGGATTATATTAGGATTTCTTATTCAGGAGACTGCTGAAGGAAAAAATTTAAAAAAAAAACACAGAAAAGAGCACTTCACTTGAGAATCTTTGCCACATGGAATGAAGTCAAATAATGGGAAAGTAGATTAAGAAAGCAAATACGCTAAAAATTGCTCCTTGTTTAAACATAAAGACGTGTTTATATTTTAAGTAAATCAAATCACAAAATCAAAGTATTTCAACTCACTTAAAAAGTAAGTGCTATTAACAGCTGCAGCGAACTGAAAGTTTTTGTAATCAAGGGAAATGATGTAGAAATATATTCCAGTGCTTGGTACTGTTATTATTATTTTCAGTGTTTGAAAAAGTAGTTACAACACTACAAGAGTTCTGGAAAAATAATAAAGCACTTCTTCACAATTAATAAACAAGTAACTGACAGCTTCCACACACATTTTAAATGACTGCACTCACCAGTTGGTTCAGACTGTATGAACTTACACAGATATTTTATCATGTATACAACAGCAGGCTTCTTGGAGCAATTTATATACCTACAAGAAAATCTACCAATAAGTAGCAGAATTCATTGCTTTAAGTAGGCTGAATTTGGGTACTATGCAGAATGACTTTACTGGCAAAACAGTATTAAAAGTAACCTCTAAAATTACTCCTCAGTTCTAAGCTTGCTGGATTTCCCTCTGGAGACACCAAAATTTCCCAGAGAATATTGCACTGAAATCAACCATATGATTCCATAGAGCCATCATGTCAAAAGATTATGCCTAATAAATCTTCAGAAGCCTAGATAATTGCAGATGGTTCTCTTCTTAACTGCTGTTCAGTGCAGGGACTATCTGAATAAAATGTTCAAACTATTAATCAGATGTTGACTTAAAAACTGTCCTCCTTTGGCTGAAGCCAGAAGTGTTTGTAGCTGTTGTAATTGAAACCATAATTCTTGCAACAAACCCCAAACCAATCAAAATATCCCAAAGGAAATATAGTGAGGTAGATATCCATGTAATTTGTCCAAGGTTTCTCTTTCCTAAATCAAATCTCCCTGAAAGCAATCACTCTAGTAAATATATTAGGTCTGAAAAAAAAGAGAAACGAGTGTCTTAAAGATTTTACTCCTACCTGAGTTTTTGGAATAGAAAGACATAGAGAAAGAATTCTCTAGCATGAGATGCAAGAGAGCTGAGGCTTTAGGGAGATAACTGTAGCAGGTGAATGGACAAAAGCATTCAATTTCTCCTATCAGTTTTAACAGATGAAGTAGCACCATTAGACTCTAGTTTAACTGGGTTGTAGAAGTTCCACTGAAATTTGGGATACCAGTGCAGGAGTAGATTTCTGAAAGGTATACAAATACTAACTACACCTGGTACATACATATATTCATATATTGGCATTTCATATGTAATGGAAAGAGAGAAGATCCTCCAATGGGTGATTCAAGCTGGCTATAATTAGGATCCTGCCTTGACCCACGCTCTAGAGGAATCTTACTCTCCACTGGAAAAAGGAGACTGAAAAGATTAACATAATAAAGGTAAAGTCAGCCTTTCTGAATCCTCCTCATACATTATAATAAGATAAAGAAATCAAACAAAGAATAAAGACTTAGATTTAAAAGAAATGTATATAAGAGTATCATAAACCAGAGTCAAGACTTCACAAGAATGACACGCATAAAACAGATAAGTGTTTTGCAACTGAACTACAAACAAGCAACAGTCAAACATCACTTTTTATATTGTCTCCCATGAAAGGTCTACCAGCATAATAAGCAATCTAAAGCAAAATAAGATTCAGTGCTAGGTACTCTGTATCAGAACCCCCTCAAGTCATAAATAAAAGCATTCAGCCACAAAGAGTAGAAGCATTAGTGAACAGAGTTTTAAAGTACCACAAAAACCATCAATGAAATGAAATAGGGGTCGGTCAAGATACTGTTTCTATGGTTGATGACAACATATGAAAAACACACCAGCAAGCATGATGTAATGTCATATTTTTATTATGCCTCAAATTTACTTTATGAAAAACAGAAGTTTCTTCTTCACAATGGGATCCTAAACAACAACTATTCATTTTCATTTACTGACTTTCACATCTCTCGTTCTAAGCAGGCCTCTTATGCCACACTTGTAACTGTAGTGCCCAACTGTCTTCCAGCAGCACATTAGGAAGTATGGGTAACATCCATTATGGGCTTCTTGTTCTCACTGTCCCCCTAGGGGAGAAGCATACAGAGCACACTGCTTTGGCAGTTTTCAGTTCATAGACACCAGCCACATGCTAGCCAACGAGGAATACTGACTACATGTAGCTACTTGATATTCAAATAATATGCATACAGCACTTTGAAGTATACACACAGCTGCTGCCACACATAGCCTGAGTGTAGCTGACTGTTCAATTACAAGCAATGAGAAAAGAAGTAGGAGAAAAGATCTTTTAAAATTAATTGCCAGACAAATGAAAGGTGTTGGAAATATAGAAAGCAGAAAAGCAACAGGAAAAATTGGTTCAGAAAGAATGAAACAAATCCTTAAACACAAGATTAGTCTTGACACTTCAATAAGAGGATGAAATCCGTCCAAGGCATTGTCAACAGAATGAGAAACAACAAGGCAGTTGAAAAGAAAGGGAAAATTTTTTTATCCACAATTGTTGATCATAAAGACATAATATCACTGAGAGGGATCTCATCACAGTGAGAAAAAGTTGCATTGACTTTCAGGGTAAGGGAAATGCATAATTTCCTCTTTAGAAGCTAAGTTTCAGAGCAATGAATGAAAGGGATGAAAGGGCAGATTTGGAAACTATCAATACTTTTGAGTATTTTAATAGCAACTGCAACTATATTCTGCTGTCACATAAGCTAACATATCCAAATCATGTCCGAAAAGTAGATTTGTTATCTTTACTTAGTAACTTAAAAGTCTCCTTTTAGAAAAACTGCATTCAAGCATTTGTAGCTTCCTCTCTTTGTAGTTTTAATATTGCTCTTGAATTCAAATATTTATTAGTGGTTTCAGTACTAACAAAGCATTTGGTTTCCTCTCAGTTTTCAAAGGTAACCAGAGCCAAATTATACAAAGAAAGCTGTAAGACTAAGTTTCCCTTACAAACTATGCATTTGTAGAAAACAGACTCTTTCACACTGTAGTTTTGTACTTACTTGATATATTACCAATTACAGAAGCTATCCCAGATGGGTTATTCAGTATGAGATGTTATTCCTAAAATAAGCACTTTTTCCAGCAAATCGTTTTGTGAAACAGCATATTGGCATGAAGGTGTCTCTCCATTCATGGACTGCAGATACAGTCACAGTGGAAGAAACAGACACATCTTACATATACAAAGCTTAATTTTACACAGGAAATAATATAACCAGCATATGTTACAGAGCCATACTGATAATACTATTTCTGCCTTATCTCTGATGCTCTCTTTTCAAGTATTTCTCAACTTCTGACAGGTAACTTCAGTAACAGAGTACATATTTTCAAATGCTTGCTCAAGGATTTTTTTTCCTTAAATGTGCCTTCATCAGGAGTTCTGAAGGAACTGGTAGCAACACATACATCACTAAGAATTGATAGGACAGCAAAAAAATCTGGATAAACAATGTTGTTTAAATGTTTGCCAGCACAAAATACAGGAAGTTTCACAACCTAGAACACGAAAGACAATCTGTCAAACTTATTTTATTCTGCTTAATCTCCTGTACATATAAGCTTGTTCTGGAAGAAACATCTTACTCCATGCAGTCTTGGCTTCTTAAAAATAAATGAATAAATAGATGCAGTGTAGGCCAGATTAAGTCTCACATCTCTACGCTACCACTGACTGACAACAACAGAAGTGTTAACATAACTGGGCAAAACTATTTAGTACATGAGATTGCTTAAGTCACCACACAGGCTTTATGCTGGTAAACATCCCTCCTCATCCCTCATTAATTCTACTTGCCTCCCCCAAAAGCAAGCATGGCCTCAGATTCCTAAGATTGGTCAACAACAGTAACACAAATCTATCCTTGCTAATCTGAAGACATTTAATAAAACTTTTTTTTTCTTCATAAACGTCAGTCAGCCCTGGCATAGCTCAAAGTAAAACAGTAATCTGAATAAAACAGCTGTTTCGATCAGTATCTCTTACTGCTCATTTTATTATTCATTTAAACAAATAGAGAGATGGACAACACAAAAAATTAGGCTGACATTCTGCATACATGCATATTGCAAAACCAGTTGTATATGTCAACAGGCATGTGTAAATATTACCTTGAGTTGAAGCAGAAGGATGCTCCTGTGGCTTTTCTTGTGATAAAAGCCCCAGGTAGCTGAGAACTACGTATTTTGTTTCATAGTGAAATCCTACAGGCACAGCAGTAGAGGACGCCATCGGGTTGGCTTGCAATGTGTTTGTGCTCTTATTGGGCACGTAGGCTTTTCTCTGGGTTACTGAACACTGTAAGAAAAAAGGAGAATGGTTTGTTTATTGTTTCTTTCTTTTTTTTTTTTTTTTTTATAAAGTTGCAATAGGTCATGAACTCATACATAACAAGGAATTATGTAACAATCATGAAGTAATATCCAGAGTTTTGCCTTTATATCCTATGCATTCTTATTTTAATAAAAACTATGCAGAGTAAAACCAAATGCCTTCAAGTCTAGTGCTCTGACTGCAGTTAGCAGTGGAATTTCTCACTCCTGCTTGGCATACATACTCTCAATTAAAGCAAATTGAAGAGGTCCTCACCAAGCGTCTGCCTTCTAATACCTCCCAACTCAACCACATACAAAAATACAAGCGTAGTCATGCAAAGAGGTTTTGAAGGGTTCTGAAGACTCAGTTAACTGCAGTTTGAGGTAAAAAGGACAGCCTTCAGAGGAAACTCCCTTCCCCTAAACCTCACAAGGGTATTTTCCTCACTCTTTGTTTCTCAGATTCCATATTACAATGCAAAAAAATTATCGCAGGAAAAGAGACACAACTGTCTCAAACTCATTTTACTGTTCCAACAGCAATGGCAAACACATGGTCAACACAGGAAACTACGTTCGTTGCTGGGATTGGAAGAACAGATGGCCGTGTGTCCTGGATTTCTGACCAGACATTAATGCTCATAAAACAGAAATCTGTATCTAATAGCGACATCTGGTCAAAGAATGACCTTATTTCACTATTGGTTTAGTTGCTTCTTCAAACACTCAAATAAAAACAGCAGGAAAAGCTAGGAGAAATAGAAATTAAAAACAGTCATCAGTGACAAGGAAAAATTAAATAAACCTCAAAAGACAACACATAAGCGAGGAAAAAGCAACACAGCAGACTGAAACAAAGCGTCAGACTAACCAACATGTTCTAGCATACAAGGAACAGCCTGGATAACTACTTCCAGTCAACCTGATAAACTCAACAGCAACAGGAGCTTCCAAATGAATTTTCAACATCAAACTCTCCACCACGTCAAACAGCTGCTCCCAGATAAGCAGCAGCTCACACCTGGCCATCAGAATTGATGCCTAACTGGAAGGCCAGCAGGAACGCTCACATTGCTGAACAGGTACATAACAGATACTGAAGGAGCTAGAAAATTTATAACCTTCAAAATATGGGTATGTTTAGAAGAAATATTTAAGCCAAGTTTAAAACTTCATGCTGCAATGGGAAAAAGAGTTGGGATGGAAAATTGGCTAAGAGTTCCTTCTTTAAACTATAACAGCTCTACTTTCTGAAATTTGTTCATTATTGAAAACAGAAGAGGATACGTTCCTGAAGACTATATAGTGGAAGGCCTTCCTCTTCTTGTGCATTTCAAATTCTTGAAATCCTTTACCAGACATATTCACTTGAGTCTTTGCTACAGATAGAACTGAAACAGTGATTTATATTGGAAAGAATCAATGTCAAAAACTAAAGGTAACACTTGACATATCATGCTTCAGAAATGCAAGAAGTTACAGCAAAGGACAAACACGACTTTTCTACAATACGCAGCTACCCTTCAGCCACTAACACAAACTGGCATTTTAATAAACATGAGAGATTTGGAAAGAACTACTCAGGAGACTTCAGAATCATTAAGAATAGATTTATTCCTCAGGCCAGATCCCTAGATGCAATCTCCACATCCCCAGATGTGAAAGATGCCATTCACTAAAAAGCAAAATCTCCTCAGTATGTTTCAGTTTTGTTTTGCTCACAGAGATCCACAGTACTGGAACTAAAACACTTCCTGCAATGCGTACACAATGAATGGGAGCCCTTCAAGCCAACCTGTACAGACCTGCCCAGAAAGAATCAGCCTGATGGGTGGTCTACAGAAATCCAGACGCTACGATGCATATCAAAGACCAGCTCTGAATATAAATAATAAACATTAGTCTTAAAACAGATTTTCAGAGAAAATGAAAGGGAAGAAGAAAAAATTTTGTTGAAACGAAAATGAAATTCTATACCAGTGATTCATGTGCAGCAGTGAGGCCTAACTCACGAGAATTTCAGCACGCTTAGCTCAGCACCTCTGGAGGGGGTGGAGGAAAGAGAGTCAGACCACAACTTGTTTAAATAGTGGCTAATGTTTCCCTGGGAAAGCAATGGATAAAAAACAACAACAACAACTTCAACTGAAAAAGCGTAACCTCTTGGGCAGAGGCATACTGAGAGTTAGTTTTATACTGAATGACAAGAAACAGTTAAGAACTTGAACAGAAGGACTATCTTAAGCTTCGCAAAAAAGAACATCAGACTGGAAAAATCACTCACTGGTCTTCCTTCCAGAGAACAGCATAACTGAATTACTCATTTTAAATTGCGAACTATTGTTTTTGTTTTCAAAAAGACATAGACAAATACTGACTCAGATACTGTAAGTATCGCAGAAAAGACCATTTTTCAGGAATGAGTGGGATTAAAAAAGGACACACAGCTTGAACGACCAGATCAGAGAGAGGAGAGCTTTCCACCAGAGGAGCAAGATGTAAAAGAGGCCAGAAACAATTTAAGAGAAATAAGACAAAGGCTTGCTTGGGAGATGTAATGGATCAGAGGAAACAAAGCATTGCAGGAATACATAAGCCTTCAAAACATGGCCAAGGAGGTTACTTCTGGTTCAGCAAATTTTTGCACTGCTACTTAAAAAACTAAAGAGATCACAATGAGGTGATTTTTCCTTTGTAGGAAGTAATTCACAATATCTCTAACTCTGCACCCAGGGGGAGAAAAACCTACCCCTGTTCAAGCTGCTGTTGCCCTTTATTCTTCCAACCAACCACACTGCTTGTTCTATGTGGGCTGAGCCATTCAACTGACCTGAACACGGCAGTCCTAGCCAGACTGGCATTTCCTCAAGCAATCTGTCACATCCTAATCCACAGAAGAGTTACATGTTAGTTAAAGGGCGATGCAAATCTACCCACGAATACAGTCAACATAATCCCTTAGAGAGGGGACTCAGCCATATTTCAGTCCTCCCCTGAAAAATCCCAGTGTGCCTCCAGCTGCATTTGCTACACACCATTCAAATGCCAAAACGCAGCAATACTGCACAGTGGAACAACTCAGCAGTTGCCACTGAGGCCTGCTGCACACCTAACTGTTGCACATCACAGACGTGCCACATGCATGTGGAGCTGCAGCCTTGCAAACTATTTTGCTGTATGCTTATAAAAATAGCAGTTGATCAATACCTCAACCAATTTCTGTGTAACATGCTAAAAACAGGTCCAGAACTAAGAGCACAGTACAGACTGCCTTATTTTTAAGAACAAGGCCCCTGTCACGACAGTATCTAAGTCTTGCTCAAAAGCAGTCATTCCAAGACTCAAAGCAAGTTGTCAAGCTTCACTTACCAGCTACAATCTCACCTCAGAACACTTCCTGCTGGTGGGGAATTATTTCAAAGTACACACAGCCTCAGCAACTGCTCAGCCAAGCACAGACACTGAGATTTCGAGAGGCAACAAACCTGCAGCACTGGAGTTCAAATCACTTTAAGGAAGCTCACAGGTTTGGTCTATCTCTCTGTACCAGGTAACTGCTCTCAGCTTTCCCAGTTGGCAACACGTGTCTCTAACTCGCAGCCTCACATTTACACGGGAGTTCCTTTTCAGATGTACCCAACTGTGAGGAGCTGCCTGCAGGACGTGCAGCTACAAATCCACACCCCGTGCCAACTTCATGGAAACCACCCAGCGCTCCGCCACCTCACCAGAAGGGCTGAGCAGGGGATTGGGATGAGGTGCGTGCGCGGACTGGTCCAACCCTGCAGCGGTTTGCCTCCCAAACACCTCCCCTGGCAGGCAGGGCACCTGGCTGCGGGCTGGCTGCTAGACAAACTCCTCGGCCTACTTTTCTGAGAGTACTAATGACTAAGAGATTGCTTTCAAGAAGCTGAGAACTACTGAGTCCAAACACGTCGATCCCAACTGGAGATGAATCAATGCTGCATCCATTACCGGTCCCCAGAGTCACGTAATGGATGGTAGCACTGGAAAGCACGATGGCCGCGTATCTGGGCGGCGGCTTTAGGTGACCTTAGAAGGAGCCGTAATTAAGTGAGCATTTTAGGCGAAACGTTTGACCGTCTTTTAGGAAGAAAACCAAGACCCGTGCGGGCTATCCACCAGAAAGCTTCTGTTTTCAGGGCTGCCAGCCACCGCTCCAAACCACTACGGCACAGCTTTACAACGGGCGAGGAACGCTCTTCCTATCGCCCCCCACCATCCCCTCGGCCCGCGGGCACACGCAGCACCACAAAGCGGGGCCGGAGCAGCCGCGCGGCTCCGCGGGAGCGCATCGTAAGCCACTCCGTTACTACGGCAATGAATGAGATATTTCCATCCCGGCAGCACGGAGCCGGGATGAGTCAGGCGGCGGCGGGCCGCGCGCTGGCTGGGTGCGCGGCCAGGTGCGGGCGCGCATCCGTTCCCCCCCCCGCTGCCGCCTCTCCTCCCGCCGCCCTTCAGCGGCCGCAGCCCGACGGCCGCCAGGGGCGCGCCCGCCCCCTCCTCCCCCACCCGCACGCCTCCCGGCCGGCGGGAAGGCGCAGAAAATAATGAAATAAACCGGCGCGCAGACGCCTCCCGACCACCCGTTTCCCCCTCTACCCCCCCCAAAACCCCGGCCCTTCCTCACCTGCGGCCGAAAGGCGGGGAGGAGGAAGAGGGGAAGGAGGGAGGAAGGGAGGGAGGGGGGCAGGCCGGGCGGGGCGAGGAGCGGCGCAGCGCCGGGCCGGGCCGCAGCCGCCGGGGGTGGTGGGCGCGCGCGCGCGCGCGCACCGGGCAGAGCTCGCTCTGCCCTAATTTGCCGCCGCCGCCGCCATGATGGTGGGGCGGGGGGGAGGAGGCGGCGCGTCACGGCCGTGTCACCGCCCGCCGCCGCAAGGGCGAGGACGCCGGGAAAGGCGTGGTTAAATTGGGGAAGTAGAAACAAGAAGCGCGGGTGCGAGCGGCGCTGCGGCGGAGGCTGGTGTGTAACGACCGGCTCCGTTGTTTGTTTGAGGAAACGCAGCTGCAGGAGGGAAGGAGGCGCTCCCTGCCAGCCGGGGTGAACAAGCGCTACGGCGGACGCGCGTAAAGTTTGGCCGTAAAACAGAAACAGTAGCAAAACTGGAAAGAACCGGCGCATCTCTTAAAAACGGCTTTGACCGTAGCGCGACAGGAGGTCACAGTAATCGAAAAAGGCTTGGAGCCCCGCGGCTTATTGCTGCGAGGCGCTTGAGCAGCCCACCTCACAGCACGGCTCCGGCCAGCCGCACCGCCCCCACGCAGCGCTCCACGTGCAGCCGCCGGCGAGCTGCCCGCGGCCGCGAGATGGCAGCCTGCCTCACGCGATGCTCCGCCCACCGGTGACGTCAGGCAGAGCGCGGGCTCCTATTGGCCGGGAGGAAAGAGTGGGCGGGGCGCGGTGACACAGCGGTAGCTGTGACCCGAACCGGATTTGATTCCACCCGTGCTCTCCGCCGGCTCCGACCGCCGTTCCTCGGGCCCCAAGCGCCTTCCTTCGCGCCCGCCGCCGCCATGGCGCTCAGCGATGCCGACGTCCAGAAGCAGGTATGGCTTGGCTTGGCTCGGTGGGTGGAGGGTGATTGTGGCGGAACGGCGGCCCGTAGGCTGCAGCAGGCTTCGCCCCGAAGCCGACCCGGGTGTTGCGCTGTCTTCAGCGCATAATTGTTCTCCGAGGCAAGTAAATACGTTGCCCTGCATAAGCACTGCTTTGTTAGATGTTACCCCGAGGGCTCTACCCCTCTTGTTTTAGCTATGCTAATTCGAGCTAGCTGGAACTTCGCACTCGTCTGTCCTTTTTACTTCTGTACCCTCAAGCAGAGCGGTGCAAACAGGGCTACTTCTGCAATGGAAACTTTTAAGGCTGAATTCTGAACGTTGGACACTTCCTGCTGGGCCAGGGCACTGTGTCCTTATTGACAGTAAATAGTGCCCCTGCCTAGAATCCTGCTCAGCACCAGGCTGGGTGCGGTGTGTGCTGTTAGCCACTGCACTGATCCAGCCAGCACCGGTCCTGCAGGCAGTGGGCAGACCTCCCAGGTGTCCTCTGCATCGTAAGCGCTTTGTGTCTCACTTTCTCATTCAGTAAACATAGTCTCTTGGCAGGGAAGCATCACATTGAAAGTAAAATCAGTAGGTCGTCTTTCTCCGAAAGGGGATTTGCTGCATTGCGTTCTTTCGTTGTTTTATTATTATTATTTTCTTCCTCATTTGTGAAGATTGTAAAAATAAAGCTGACCTTGTGTTGGCGTTGCTCGGCTGCCTTGGGCATAGACTTCAAAGCCAGGCTGGATGTGGCTCTGGGCAGCCTGGTCTGGTGGTTGGCGACCCTGCATATAGCTGGGGGTTTGAAACTTGATGATCATTGTGGTTCTTTTCAACCCAGGCCATTCTATTTTTCTATGATAGACTTCATGGGTTAGTGCAGGCTTTGTGGATATGTGAAACACGCAGTGTTAGTGGACTTTCACACCTATAACTTTCCTGCCCTTGTTTTGCACCACTGAACCTGTTGGCTGGAAAAGAGTGCTGCTGGTAGCACACTGGTTCTGCCTGTGCATAAATCCTGGCATGAATTTGCCAGCTGGGCCTCTGAACTCCTAACTACTTACTATGGCACTCTCCATAATTTTCCCATTGAAAACCATCTGTTAAGTAAGAGATTTTCTCAATAATACACTTGCTTTCTTCTGGCAACAGTGTTTAATCGATTATTCCGTCTAACCTAGCTAGTCATGTGAGGCCAAAGCCATCCTGACATCTAGGACTTCCCATGGAAAGGCTAATCATTTTCTTCAAAAAAAAGGCTGTTCACCAAAATTATGTCCATGTTTTATCTGCCTCTCTCATCCTTTCTTTAAAACAAGTAGATCTAAAGCTTAATTCAGTCAGCCATCCAAGTCAGGCAAGCAGGATAAGAAATTGACGTTGTAGGTGGACTTGCAAACCCAAGTGCTGCAAACCAGAATTCAGATAAAAATGATTGACTTCATTTTGAGGATGTTAGAAACCTGTTCATTTCTTCCACAGCATATGCCTATTATCTTCCACTTTCCTGCTACCACTTGTTTTTTCATGTATATGGCCATGGTGCTGTCTGCCCTTGGGTTCTGTTCTCACATCAGCACCTTTCTTTAAAATGCTTTGTTTTAGCATGAGATTACATAAATGGGATGATGGGATGTTGCATTCAAGTTTGTTCAGACCAGGTTGTGAAACTTGTCATTGTAAAAGCGAAAAGTGGGGGGGGAGGGGGTTGTGGTACACTTGAGTCTACAATTCCACTTCATCCATGCTTGGAAAATGGCTGTGCTGCTAGAAGTTGTGGTTTGATTGGGCAATGATTCCTTATGGTCTGCTCCAGATTTGAAGCAAAACTTAAACCTGGTCACAGAATGGTGTAAGATAAACAAGCAGAACTTAATACAATTGGATTCTATGTCTTTGAGCTGTTGGACCTGTGAAGCAGTTTCAAAAAGTATCTTTAAGTTGAATGTGATAGTACATACCAGTCTCTAACCATCACGTCATGTGCTTGCCGTAGTTTCTATCAGCAGGGTTCATTCAGGTGCCATCTATGCCTTTCTGAGGAATGCACTTCTCATCAAAATCCTTTCTAACAGAAAATACCTTTTCTCTCTCTTGTTACAGATCAAACATATGATGGCTTTCATTGAGCAGGAGGCCAATGAAAAGGCTGAAGAAATAGATGCAAAGGTAAAAGTGGAAGTTCAATGTCAGTAAAAGGAGAACTGCTTCTGACATCCTGGTTTGATAATTGCACTCAAAGCAGTCCTAAGAAACTTTTCTGTAGTTTACTTAACATTTAGTTACTGTATAGCAAAAATGATGCTACCAAATACAGTTAATGTTTCTTATCTGTTTACAAATCAGAACAAGGTAACTGAGCTGGAGCTGCTCTTTTGCCCAAGTTTCTTGGCAGTTCTTGGATATGAATAAATTTAAACATTTAAGTTCACTTATATTTTTATGCAAACAGGAGAGCTGAATAGCAATGTGAACAGACAGGGGAAGTGTTCCACTTACTCCAGCCTCTTCTACATAACTTGACAACACAAAGAATTGAGGGAATTTCCTACATAATTTAGAATTCCACTAAGGTTTCTTGTAGCAAGCTGTTCCTTGTTGCTCTGAATTTGGCTTGGCTTCCATTGTATGTTAGGCTTAGACATCAGTAGGAAATCAAAATCAAAGCAGGGATGTTTGTAATCAAGCACTAGTTCATGCTTGCAACAAAATGGAAAAAAAAAAAAAAGAAAAAAGAAAAATGATGGAAGTTAACTATTTGAATTACCTTGGTGAAAGCTTGTTTGTAAACGGGTTTGTAACTGAACCTAAACCTGTGTAGCCACCTGCAGACTCAGTTGTAGATGCAGTTAGTAAGTACCCTGGGGAACAAAAGCATACATTTCTATTTAAGGTGTGGGTTGAATTATTTGCAGAATTCCTCACTGACATACTCACAGACATGCTGATGAAATAAACTGTATCTTAGTAAGGTTCCCTTTGACTTGAGTATTGGTTGAGATGTTTTGTTTGTAGGGAACCATAAATCATATGATCCTAGTTTATCTGCAAACGTGTTCTTAAAGTGTGGCCATTTCATTTCTATTTTTTTTCAACCCGTGGAATCAATATACACTTCAGTTCTTTAATTTTTACTGTAGGCTGAAGAAGAATTCAACATTGAGAAGGGCCGTCTCGTTCAGACACAGAGGCTGAAAATCATGGAGTACTATGAAAAGAAAGAGAAACAAATTGAGCAGCAAAAGAAAATGTAAGTTGCTTAGACTAGGTAGTTGTCTTCAGAGCCTGAGCTCTCATTACTAATTTTCTACAAAACTCTGGTAAGTGGACTAATTGCAGCTTAATGTATTGAGTTCTAATTCTGAATTTCTAATTTTTCTGAAGAGTAATTATCAAAGGTGAGCAGCAATTGTATAACTGGTAAGAGATTTGGTGAAAAAAAATCTTAGTTCTTTATGTCTGTCTAAAACTGCAGCTTGGTCTGTTACTCTGGCACAAATGATTGTGTCAGGTTTAGTTTTGGTGGGTCTTTACTGAACAGTGGGGTTCTGCATTGTAATCGTTTGCACGAATTCAGACACAAGTTAAAACATTTAAGCAGGTTTTGTTATTAAACACTGTTGTATTGCTACTTTTAAATGTATACAGTTAAATGTTGTAGTTTTTCTGTCTGTATTCAAAGCCTGGTAGGCTGATTCAACTTTATCATGCAACTTGCAGTCAGATGTCCAACCTGATGAATCAGGCAAGACTGAGGGTCCTCAAAGCAAGGGATGACCTTATTTCAGTGAGTATGCCTGCAGTAAAGACACCAAGGTTTTGTTC